CCATCCTCTCTGCATATTACTTTAAGGTTATCTTCTGCCCAAACTTTAAATGTTTTGCCACATCTTAAACATTTTCTTTCACAATTAGCATTGTTTAACTCTATTCAAACTGCAATCTACTCAAAACAGCTGAGAAAAAGCCATTTTTCACTATGTTGCTGCCAGAGCCACATTTCACTGTCTGTGCAGTGAAGTGCAGTGTTAGAGGATTTCCAGTAAAACTGCATAGAGGCAAGAAAAAATATTTTCTTCTTGTTTTACCTGACCAGAGAAGCCTTTTCAGTTTGTGTTCTGCATCTCCTACATGGCTTTTTGGCTCATATTTGATAGGATTCCTTTCATATCAGTGTATCAGAGGCTTTGACCATGCGGTGGGGGGACAGGTAGCACAGGTCTCTATGTAGGACAGGTCTGTGTGTAGTGTTAAACTTTGTGGCTCCCCTGTGTGTCCTATATGAATAATTTAGACTTAGACAAACTTTATTGTCATTTTGTTTACACAGAGTGTAAAACGAAGTTTAGATCCATGCAGCTTTCCGACAGTGAATTAGCAGCAGCTTAGCAGTGAAATGAACATATAAAGTGGAGCAGTGATCATAATGTATACCATGTAGGAGATATTTTTATTTTATTTTTCCAGGTTGCGTGATGGAATGCAACCTGGAATAATAACCCTAATTTTAATTGGCTATTGTCATCAAAATGTAAACTCTATTAAAGTAAATTTATTTTGGTTTGTTTCTGTGGGTCAGCAGGCTCTCTGCTCCTCAATTCATCAAAAAAAGATATCTTCAAATGTTTGAGCCTATAGGAAATTCTATAGTCATTCCTGGCATTCATGCCAAGCCTTTATGCAAATGCAACAGTTTTCTGTTCACCTGACCCCCTACAATGTCATTAGTTGGCAGTTTTTGAATTTTTCCCTGATCCGTGCAGTGTCAAACCTCAAAGTCTCTATATGGGGCCTTATCACGGCACAGCAGCTGCCGTTCGGAGGGAACCCCATATCCTGCACCGTGAAACTGTGCCATAAATATGCGGCTGAGCTTTCCAAAACTTCCATTGTGCCTGTTAGGTGATAGAGAGCTGCAGGGATTAGCCAGAGTTTGTCTGCTAATTGGTCACCTGGGAACTGAACAAACGTCTGTCTGTCCAGAGGGTCGGAACGATGGGAATCACAGAAGCAGGTGCTTTTTTTTGCTTTGAAAAAAAAAAAAAAGCAAGAAACAATTATTGCAACCCAAAGTTGCAACTGAAAATGGGCTGGGGTCTTTATATTTGTCTTGCTTGTCATGATCTTTATTCCCCGACTTTGTTCTGCCTCGCTGCTTCTGACTGTCCTCAGGTTTCACAATTTACTGCAGTCTGCTTTATGGATTTGCTTCTGCAACGTTCTCACAAGCAAAGGTATTTTCTTCTTGTAAAATCACAACAAGAATATGTTCTTGCATTTATGGCGACATACAGCTGTAAAAGGTACGTTTCTGCTTTGTTTTTCCACAATAAGAAGCATCTGGAAACCCTCAAATCATCGAGCATTTTAAATGTGGAAAAGAAGAATTGATTACTAAATGTGGCTACAGTCACTGCCTAACAGCTTTGGGGTACATGAAAAGTCAAGGCTCACTTGTGAGTTTTGGATTTTTCAAATATTCATGTTGAACACCTATTCTATCTGATTTAAAAAAAATAAAATGTTCTTTTAGCCCATTGTTTTTTTGTTATTTTTTACAAAAGAGTTGACAGGTTTAGGCAAAAAACGGAGGTTTGTACCCTAATTGAGTAACTGGTGAAGATTGAACCTTTTAAAATTAGATGTTTTTGTAAATAGATTTATAGTTTTTATATTGACAAAAAAAAAAACAAGCACACATATTCCAGAAAAAACTGAACTATTCAAAACCAGACAAAACACATTAACTAGTGCACAAATTTATTTCACCAGCAGTAATGGCACAGGGAATAAGGGTTTTAACATGTTCTTACAGTCTTGTTTAACAATTTGT